AAGAGCTAGTGAAGATGCTACTATTAACGAGGAGATGACTGAAAATCTAAAAATATACACGTCTAGTAATAGGGCCTAATGATGGCTCATGTAACGTACTTTGTTGTTTCTTCAGACGACCAATGACTCGCACAGTCTCCATCAATGTCGCTGTACCACTTGATGGATCTACAGCACCGAACGCCCATGCGTCTCTATGGTTACCAAATAATACCAAACGATCTGCAAAGACAACATTGTTATATGTGAGGTCTTTGCTTATTGTTAGGGCATTTTTTCGTTTTATTGTTTGCTTTGCTGATATTTTTTAGCTGTGCCAGTCCATATTTGGAATCAAACACATAATATTTGTCAAAAAGCATCAATTTTGGGCAAAGCCATCTGGATGCGCTAGTGATTAATATTCGAGTATTTTGAATTGTCAGTAACGCCTTTTTGTTGGAAAAAGCGATATTGGTGTTGTAGCCCTTTCATGTCCGATAAAATCGCTCCTCCTAAGCCGGTTGTTTTTCTTGACAAAAATAAAAGTAGCATTGCCTTTTCTACAGAGAAATATAATTAAAATAGCTTTTATAGGGAGATTCTTTTCGGGGCCATAATAAGGCTCTACAACTCCCAATCATGCCTTGAAGTATATGCACACTGCCTACTGAATTCAACGCCAACAGATCAGCATAGGTCCACAATGCAAATTGCTTATATTTTGAGTTTTTCAAAGTGCTGTATATATAGCATGATTTATTGGCAAAAGAGATGGAAAAGCGTACCTGGTTCAACAGACCCTCGAAGTACACCCATAACATTGTAGACAGGCATTGTTTTCAAGTCCATTTGTACATTGAGATTCACTTCGCTGAAGAGAGAAAGCGCATTTTAAAAACCTTATTGCCTATAAAGCACTTCCGACAGTTTTTGAACCCAAAATAATATTTTAATATTAAGTTTTCTTTTAATAAAGTTTTGTTGTCAATTGCTTGCTTCATAGTCTCCAACCTGCAAAACAAAGCTGAAACCCCTGCGCACCCTTTGTATCCCGCACCTATGCTCACTTCACAAATATACTCTAAATGAACTTACAGGTTAGTGGAATCAGGCATGGTAAGGTAATAATCCATATCCAGCCCTCCTTGCCAGTCATCGGGAGCTTTCTCATTCTTCAGCAAACTATGAACACATAAACGTCATGATGTATGGTAAGACTAAAGRCCTACTCGKKAGGGGAGGGCAGGGTAGGGACTGCCTTCATGGAGTGGAGATCTTCATTAAATGATTAGCTAAATTGCTATCACTCATAAAAAAGCGACAATTGGATCATCCCCGCTTCTTTACAAGAATTTTATTAGGGAGGGACTTCCTTTCTTCCGCAAGGAAACAGACCAAGCGTGCATAAAAAAAAACGTAGAAATGAATCTACTTAAGTCTTATAGAGTCCAATATTGGAAAGCGGTTTTCTTTGTATTTAGTATTCTTTTATCATTCATCATATATATTAGATCGGGTCAATTGCGTTATTAATAATGTGACGTCATATCGCCCCAGGGAACGTCATATGCTGGCATATAWTTTGTCGAGATCTTGGCTAGTGAGCTATCTCAGAGGTAGACTTACTTGAGGAAATGTTTGGCGTCGCTCGCTGAGATMGGGTAAACKGGTAGTTTAGGCAGCCCAGCATCTTCCTTTGGTGTTCTGTACATTCCCTCTGTAGAATAACACGGACAAACATGTCGTTAGATTGAAACTTTTTTCATATTGTTATTAGGTTAACAGATGAAACGACACATTCATAGATTAGGACTAATTGTATACATATTTTTGTTCAGGGGCATAATAGAAATAATTAAAATGAAAAAAATAAAAAATAGAATAAAATAAAACAAAGCAATGAGGGCGCGCGAATTGTTGATAGACTTGATTTAACCATGAACTTCACATAGTATTCTTCAGAAGAACGAGTAGATCGAAAAACAAAATTCAAAATTATACTATGTACATTTCCCATGTGAACTAGAGATAAGAGAAAAGAAAATTCCTTGAAACGCGTTTGAACAAAACGGCTTTACTGGCAGTATTATCAATCCGCAGCACAGAAAAAAAAACCTGTTTGAAAATGACCACCTTTCCGCCAGTTAAAAAACAACCTTGTTTGATGATCTAATATTTATAGCCCTTCCTCTTCGCAAAGTAGTTTAATCTTATACTAAGAGATATGAAGAATGGAATGACGGACTAATATTAGAAAAATGAATTTGATAAAGCTAAAATGAATCTAATTCAACAATTACATTCAGAACGGAAACTTGCTGTCAAAGTTTGAGTCAGGAAACACAGTTTAGGAACATTTTACGAGCTGTTTGCTATATTCAACTGAACTATAGTCATATCTTATACGACTTGTGGTTAAATTAAATTGAATTAACAGTAATGGTCTCTAATAAATAGTTTCCAATTCACCTTAGTTACTCAATTTAATTTTTTCAAGTAAACATGAATACCCTTGGGACAWGTTTTGGAGTATTAGTGACAAATATACGGCAGCTTTTTCGAGCTGAAGGATGAAKGCTGATCTGATTTGATCTGTTTTATGGAAAAAATGTATACTTCAGGGGTAAYTTTTACGAGTATTCTTTCTGTTATCTTTTAAAATAGATGTTAGTTTTTATTCAAATATTAATACAAGGAAAAGAAGAGATAAGCAAGATGAAGGAATGATAACAGAACTACTCACTTAGATTTTAACTAAGCATGACAAACCGTACATTGAAGCTTTCAAGTATGCATTTTTAGCCAAATTATTCAAAAAAGTCGTTTACGAACTGGTTGGACTACCTTTCCTCGGCTAACGATTCTTTATGTTATAACATATATTGAAAATCAGTAGAAACTGAACAATAAACCAATTTATGTGTTGTCCTTTCTTTTAAATATGATATCTAATCAATCTCGTCGCCATCTTGCTGTTTTCTCGCTGTTAAGTTTGACTAAATCTCATAAGGTTTGTTACATAAGATAGCTTGGTGTGCTTTTCGACTTTCTTATAAAATTGAACTAGACTCTCTTATTCATTCACGCGGAAAAGCATCGGAACCTCAAGTTTAATTTCACCTCGTTGGTTTTGGTGTTCAATTATAAAAGTCTGGAATGCTTCTTTTTACGACAAAAGCGTTTTTCTAAATGCTTCTGTGGAGATTCTCGACGGCATATTTGCATTTTTACGCGTCATTGCAATGACGAAAACAATGGGGCTCAACAGTAGCAAGTTTTGCGCTAAGTCGGTTGAGCGGTTGCGCGGTTTCAAAAGCAGAACTTATAGGAGTGACCGCCTCCAACCCTCCGGCCCCTCCCACCCATGTTATATATGCCCATGAAAAAAAAAATCATTTCATTCTTTCTAATGCAGTACAGTATTCTCCCCTCTCCACCCTGCGGGATAAAACGTTATGTTTTGACTGACCAGTGACCTACCAATAGAAGGATAGCCTATTGTTAAGGGGTCCCCTGATTTCATGAATATCGACCCCCGTTGAACACCTGACGAAGGTAGCCACCATGTTTTGGGATAAGTGTCGTTAGGAGAGACGCCTGGGCTGTAGTCTTTAGGGTCTGAGTATAGAATCAGACCAATGGCACCATGTTCTTGAGCGTACTTTTCCTAAAAATAACAATCACAGATCATTATAGTTAATTAACGCACTGTAAAAATCCTGTTATCCAGAAGTTTGAAATTGGTACAAAAAACCGCTTGAAGTTTTTATACCTTGTTGCCTCTGAAGATCTCTCCATATTTAGCAATGACAATCCTTCCTGTTACATTGATTCCTGATTTATTCAACTTTTGGAAGTCTTCGATTCTCCCATAGTTTACAAAAACCAACCGCCCCTGAAATAAGAAGACAGATATGTCAACGAGTAATAACAACGTCAATAAATTATTCTTGAATAATTCTTGTTAAGCCTACATCTCGAAGCGTGATCTAATCTTCTATTTTCAATGTCCTTTTGCTGGTATTGAAAGAGCTTGTATTCCTCCGGAAACATTTTTCATAACGTTTACATAACGCAAGCTATGATTGGCTTTGGCGAGTGTAAATCTATATTCAGCGACTTTGATTGGCTGATTATTATATTAGTGACAAAGCTTGCTGGAGACTTTATAACAGCCAGAAGCCTTGCATGACTACAAACGGATTATGGACCCGCTACTTTTGTTTGAATGTCTTCTTTGACTGACTTATATTTAACAATTAGGTGTCGATGCGGAAGATGTCAAGACGGGACGTTTGGCCTTTTTCTACAGTTTTACTTGGGACCATCTTTTGCACTTAAGCATGAATGGCAGTTTGACAACGTATTTTGATAGTGTATTTTCTTCTAAAAATAGCAAAAAGCTTTCTTGATAAGCGTCTCAAAGGTATTGCTGGACAGCAAGCTGTTCATTGTAATTATAAAACTAACAAGAATGACTAACCGTAACATTTCCACTTGCAGAATACGCATTGAATGGTGGCAAGACTTTATCGTTATCTTCCTTGGCCTCCACGGTTTTTTCTTTCTGCCTTGCTCGGAAGACCTCAGCACCGCTAGAACTATTTATAATTCTTGCAAGGGGTAGTACGTTCTTCTTTGGAAACGATAGCAGTATATCATACTTGATCAACTCTACTTTGTCTAATCCATGGTTAGTCCATTCCTCTTTCATTCGCTGMGCTTGTTGGTGACTTTCGTCTGAGCCAGGCACGTGTGGGACACTGGTAAAATATCTGCAATAATCCAATGTTAAATTACCAATCGAGGCAATGAAGGGATAGAGAGTCCTCAGATTACAGTAACTCAGTACTACTCAAAGCCTGCTGTTTGATTGCTACTTAAGGAGTGTCCATACAATCGTCCACGACGTCCCTATCGCCCAAAAATGCTTTTTTGTATTGTTCAAGATTCTTCATAGGAAACAACAGCTATGCATTTCGCATAGGGTGATTGGTGCCATTATATCAGGGAACGCTATCAATAAGAGCAGCTCTATTTTGATGTTATGTTTTTATTTATTTGGTAAACTATGATTGTTTTCCATTGTTTTCTCAACTTAACATGAGATTCGTTCAGATCGGCGCTGACTGTCCCCATGCAAGATTAACTAGATTAACATATACGACTTTTCTAAAATAGCATTACGCATTTACTTCTGGTCTGGATTCTGTACAAACATATTTTGTTCATGCTGCCAAATATGGTGTTGTTAGTACTGAAGCTAGACCACAATGCACTATGGTTTTGTATTTCAGAAAAAAAGGTCTATTGTACTGTCTTGCGGAAGTCTTTGCCAGTTAAGGCGCACGAAGATCATTGTGACGGTGAGTAAAGGTCGCTGGTTTTCAGTCTATAAGACCACTGAAACTGATTTCAATATATCCCGCGGATCATTTGTGCAAAGTTCGCATAAGAAAATAGCTCAAAGATGGAAAAGGGAAAAAAAATGCGAAGAAAAAGAGATTTTTGTTTTTTGTCTCTGCGCTCGCTTAGTTGTTTTTACTCATATGATATTTGCTTTTATCATATAATTATCTATGAAATACCTATATTTCTCCATTTCGTAAAGTTGTTATCTTCATAGTGAAAATAACACATTCGCGGTTTTCCTTATATAGTGGAAGTTAAAAAAAAAAAGCTATTTTACCACATAATTTGCTTTCATATGCAATTATATGATAAATAGAATATTACATGGTCGCTTGGAGATACGAATTTTATCTTTTCGTGTTGAAAATTTCTCACTCGTTCGCTACGCTAACTCGTGAGAGATCTTTTCAACACTCGAAGATAAAATCCGTATCTCCGCGCGTCCATATGTAATATTCTCTATTTCTCCTTGCGCTTTTTCATTGTGCTTGCGCTTATTATCGCTGTGAATGGGCTTGCGCAGCTAGTAATTCCGCGCGCAAAACTTCCTCAAGATTACAGARAAAATTAAAGTCTTGAAAATTATGCAATTTAAACCATTATGGATTATCCATTATGGATTTTAGGCTTAGGCCTTAATAAAGCCAATCTACTACCGCTTTTAAAGATGACAAAGTTTAATGAATGGCCAACAGGCCAACGTTACATATGTCATTCGATATCTGATCAACGATAATTAACTCAAATTAGACATGAATATTTCTACCGATTGTTCAGCGACATATCTAGCTAAATTAGAAAATACATTAATTTGTATTGTACACTACTTAGTCTTTGATGGCTTAGGCTAAGCATTGCATGTTATCAACATTGAAAGCAAAGAAAAGAAGAAGGGATATTGAAGAGTAATTATATATTAGTTCTCTTGTAATTACAGATTATGACAAGAGTCGCACTTCCCTGGAGTCGCACTTTTCTTGACTTACTTTGAAGGCAAGTTGACCGCATAGTCACGCAGACCAAATGACAACGCTTTGACTGTATGTCAACTGGTCTACAGCARAATCCATTAATAAAACTTGTCCAGATGTCGCGAAATAAAATTGACAAGCCTTGTATATAAGCTTTRATGTAGTGTATAAGTCAAGAGAAATAATGTGCCTAATTTTGAGAAACCTGAGTTCCTATTTAAAACAGTGCTAGATATGTATTGTTGACATATTCCAACGTGTCTTATTAAAATTACCAATACGTCTTTGTATGTCACTTAATATTGTACAATCTGTTTGCCGCTGTTTTTGGATGTAATGTGGCCGTTGGTTGATTATAAAGAAAACGAAAGAACTGGAAATCTGTAAAGATAAACACCTGTGCCGAACGGGTAGTCATTACATCTTGCATAATCAAGAATGAATTCAATCAAAATTTATACTAAAAACAAGTCTATAGAATAAAAAAGTCTGATATTTTCAAACCAACTACTCAAATTCATCGGATTGTCGACAAACAATACAAGTTGATTAATAAGGAAATGTGGGCGCTGTAATAGTGAACGGATTGGATAGAGAAATGTCGCAGTGTCGAAAACAAATTCTTGTGTATGACATGTTTATTGCTTATGTAGTATATCCATTGTATTTTGAGGACTCAGTGTTCTTTAAATCAACAATTGTAAGGCTTCTATTGTTCAAAGCACATTAAAAACCGCTTTCCGTATAGTCTTACAAGCTCATGGTGAGGCCGTACGCGCGCGTCAATCTCCACAATGTTTTCGCGCCATTTTGTCTGCATGAGTGATTACTCATCATCACAAAACCTTAGGTCATTTTAATCTGATCTATTCCATATTAAAAACTTTAAATTTTAAAGACATAGCGAGATTTTTTCCTTGTTTAATCGGAGAAATCGCAGTTATATATGGCTGTGACATTTTCCACCTTAAATTTCAACTTAATTATAAATGTTGAAAAAAAACTTTAATCGATGAATCCCTTCCCTTTTACTGACCAAATTCGCTGAGCTGCGAGTAATATTTGCGCTGTAGTTTGACTTTAACTTCGTCTTGAAAATGAAATACATAAGAATTTACTTGGATATTCATGAGCCAACAACGGGCATTTACATATACAGAATACATGAAAAAAATCTGACAAAATGGTTTCAGTTCGACCATTTTGTCCTTGTTCTAACAGTAAGAGATTCAATTGAAAAWAGTATTTTAATTATTAGCGAAAATTCAGAATATAAGTTTCCGGATTGAATCTATGAATCAATTTTTACTCCCGGAGATGAAAAATAATAAAAATTCGATTCCACAACAGGCAGATGTTTTTGAGCAAGGCGTTTCCGTATTACCATTCTACAATTATTTTTGAACCAATAGGATCTTTCACAGTATGAAAAACTTCAATCCAAAATATAGAAAAATAGAGCTAAGTACCCTGTAGACCCCAAGAGCCCCATCAAAGGGAAGTTTTGATGCAAAGTATTTTCGATGCTGGAGTCATCGATAAATTGTAAAAACAAAAATATCAAAACGCATATTCATGAGTGAGCAATGGATTGCCACTATTTGAGCGGATGGGAAAATGGTTTGAATAACATTTAATATCTTCAACATAATGAAAYAGAGAAAAAATAAGGAAAAAAWGTCAACATTATACGCCCTTGTTGATATGATCATTTGGTTTTCTCCCTGTACATGTTTATAATTTTGCTTCATTAAAATTCAAATCTTACCAGCCGTTGGGTCAAAAGATAATTTTTGTGAAATCTTAAGGTTCCTAATGGCCACCGTTAGTGGAGTGTTTTTCCAAAGGATTGTCACTCTTTATTCTGCAAGTATTATAGTTTTAAGCGCGTAAAAAGTCGGGTTTGCTGCCGCTACATGCTTTGACAGCGCGTTTGCAGTGATACTTGAGCTTGCCAACACTACAACATGATTTTGTCCAGCAAACTGTACTATACCTTAATTGTTCCTGTATGTTGGAAGACGAGACATTWTCTGCAGCCTCTTCGATTAGCTTTTCCATGTTGTCAGATCGACCTRACTCACCACCACACCGATGCACGACGAGTCTGACCACGTATCCAAGCACGAACGCCACTCCAACGAGAACTATGACAGCGATCACTATGATCAATACCCGAATTCTATTTCTCTGATCTTCGTGATCTTCTTTATCATCCTTCGTAACTCGATATTCTGTGACCTCTTTTTCTTGGAAGGGAGCGGTCTCAGCCTTCTCCTCCTCGAGCTCTGCCATTTTTAACCACAAATTGTTGCCTCCTTTCGGGGCAAGGCCTTGCAGCGAACGGAGAAGTTTGAGTGAATATTGATGACCAGTGTCGCTAGCAGCATGCACTATGCTAATATTGCTATTGTATTGATTATCRCTATTGTATTTGGTCGAATAGAAATCAAGCAACGTTCCGCCAATATATTAWCAAGTTAGGTGGCGTGGAAACGACACCTTCAAACACTGAAGAAATCCATTGGGTTTTGGCTTCAATCTTTCGGTTCAAAAACCAAACAAACTGACCTCTAAATTGTCCAAATCTCAATGAATTTAAAGTCGATTGATTTATTTAATTTCTGTCGCCTTTAGTCGTGTATTTTGCACCTGTGAACTTGTCATCACCGACCTGAGATGTCAATATGAAAACGCTAAACTAAAACTACACATGGCTTGTCTCTGAAAGGCAGTTAAAATTGAAACTTTTAGCAGGATTTCCTTAGCAAAATAAGCGACGAACGTTCGGTACGCATTTGCGTATACTAAATCTCTTATATGACTAATGAACTGAGAAAAGCGCATTTTTGCGACAAATAAGGCTTGATTTAAAGTGAGATACATTCATTTCTTTTCTGTCATTTTATACTGTTAGTGAAGTAACTTTGAATTTGGGGATTTTGGTCGTAATTTCTCACTCCAACCTCGTTCCTCCCATCACTCTCTACCTCTGCAACAAAGCCGTCTGGCCGCTTGTCATTGATATCAGTCAACAATATAACAACTAGTTTGATTGGTTGAAAAGTATGTAACGAATATTTTGATTGGTGGAATATCACAAGCCATCGTGTAAATAGTCTCGTCGCATAAGGCCATTGATCTCGACGATTTTTTGCCAAAATGGTGGCCTGTTAATCGACTTTCTCTGCAGAAAAGTAGTTCTGTTGTTGATAAAAGAGGCTCGTTCGTCATGTCAAGTAGTCAGTTCGCGTTGAGGCCAATCGACGGCGGTAAAAACACCATACTACCCATTGGGTCGACCTCCATTGGACGTGGGCCTTTGCTTAGTGTATGTACTAACTTGATGTATAATTGGGGAGCATTAGGGGAAAACTATTGTTTTAGAGAATGTGCTTTACGTCTACAGTCTAATGAATTTAACAAACTTAATMTTTTATTGTTAATCTTAAATTGAAGTTTTCATGCGAATGTTATGTGAGCTTATCGAAAGGTCCATGCAAAATCGTGCTCGTTTCTCGTTCAAGCTACATACAACAGTCGTTTGGAAGCGAGCTCCTTGTAGTTGTTTCCGATAGCTAAGATGTCTTCCCTTAAACATTAAATTAGAATCAAATCCTATGCTGTTCATTCGGAATGAATTGAGCTCGCGTCGCCTTGGTGACAGTGGACTATATGTTGTACTATATGCATGAACTCTAATAGTGTATTAAGCTTATACACGCCATGAAATGCTAAAAAAACTTCATTAGGTGGTAGTGGAACCGTCTCTGATATGATCGTCTCAGCTAATGTGGCAAATCCGATATCACTTTCAATTTTGTTTACATCTTCAACTCGCTCTTCTCTCGCGCAGGAAAAAATCTTATAAAGAATATTTTCTTTTGAAAATAAATTATTTGAATTTTCTGTCGTTGTAGCGAATTATTAGGACTGTAAAAACTGATATTTTAAGCTTACAAAAACTTCAGTTGTCACTGTACTATGTTTACTTTGTAACGAATTGATGCAAAACATAATTAAGTTGCCAATATATTTGTCATGCTTAATGCACATGTAGTTTTATAATTATTTTAAATTGATTAATAGAAAAAGTAAGGAAAATCCGAGTTTCTGGCAATTCCACCTTAATTAGGGACCAAATACTACACAGGGAACCCAAGCACTTCCTTTCTTATTTATRAATGGTGTTTGCTTTGAAATGATACAGTGTTATTGATAACATTACTCAAATTAAAAGTAAATATTTATCTTATGTGCATTATCAGCATTGTAATGTAGAATTTTGATTTTTTTTAAAAATGATCATTTTAGTGGAAATCATTTCAGTATATTTTAAGTGTTTTTACTCTTACGTTGTTATAATTGCTTAGTTTTAATAATCTACAAAGTATTAATAAAAATTACAATTTTTAGGGAGTTATTTTCAAATTGATTATTATTATTATTAATGAATTTATTAATTGATTTTATAAAATGTTGCATTTAAATAACAAGGTTTTGGGCACTCACACACTCCTCATCTATTGACATACTCCTATTGCCTGATCTTTTTCATAAAAAAAGTTGGATTTTGCTGGATTATAATCATGCGGGTCAACTTGTACCATCTACACATAATTTCAAAATTCCTCATAAGAACAATATTTTTTCAAAGCCCTTAAACTCCTTGCTTCTAAATCTGTAGGTTGTAGACAAAAGAGTGTCAAGGTCACATGCTATTCTTGATGTTGGAAATGACAAGTTGACAGTCACAGCAGTAAGTAATGRTACATGTTTTGGGGGCATCCCCTTGAATCCAGGTGTATTATATTCTGTTATTTGTTTCTTTCTCTAAAAAATGACCCCGGGTACTTTGTTAGAGGTAATTGTTCTCAATTCTAAAAAAAATGGCAGGCAGTAAAGTGATCAACCAATCAAAGAATTTTTCTCGATTTACTGACCATTCAGGAACAAGAATATCAATGATTTATAGATTTTATTGTTACATTCTATATAATAAATTTTCATACATGTAGTGATCAAATGTAAGAATCGACTTCATCAAAATTTCGATGTTTTCAAAATCACCTCGTAATTCACTTAAATTATATTGAAATTTAAGCACCAATTTTTTTTACATTTTTAAATACATAACAAGGATAATGTACAATATATTTCAAGGCAAAAGATAGACCTCTGTTGGCCACCTCAATTTGAGCTTGTTCTTAATTGGTCAAAGTTTGAGTCAAATCCTTCACTCATTCTCATTGGTTGATCGATTTACTGGCTGCCATTTGAAATGCTGAATTGAGAACAAGCTCCTACAAACGATTGTGTCCATGGGAGTTATTTCTGGCGGGTGAGAAAGAAATGCCATGGTTCAAGATCATGTATCTATAATTAATGCTTAATATTCCATTCTTTTATAAAGCGAAACAAAATAACTGAGTTTCCTAATCCGAATTAGTCATATTTTAGGTTTTAAGCGATGACGTCATCGCGCATAATTTTGCGCATAATCCCGCATAATTTTGATTTTTTTCGCGCATAGAGCGGATTTCGTATGAGTGGGAAACGTACTGTACTGTACTGTGACCGTAATTGTACTGTAACCAAATTCTAGTGCCCCATTGGTTCACCAAAATTCTGCAGGCCAGGTGCGGTAACTGTGCGGTAACTGTGCGGTAACGGTGTCCCACTCATACGAAATCCGCTCTAATTCCAGAATCCCTGTCTTATTTAAATGTTCTACCCTTAAGTTCCTTTTTGTGGCTCTTTAGTGATAATTTTTGCCCTCCTCAGGAGACTTGTACCCCCAACCCTCCTAAAAAATGCTGGATCTTCCCAAGTGTGTGATAATTAGCATTGCACTCTATTCACAGTCCATTTTCAATGTCACTATGCCTACTTTGCTCCTATTGGTCTATTTTCATTCCTACTCTTACTATTAATATAAACTCACCCTTTACTTACCTGTTTTCATCACTTTTACTCCGACGAAGGATTAACGTCCGAAACGTCAGTAAGTTATTTCACATACTTTTTTACGGTGTTAAATTTATCTTTTCACATCAACATTTTCAATGTACTCTATTTTTATTCACAAAGCTTTGTTTATTCGTAGACACATGCAAATCCAACATTTTACAAGACTGCAGAAAAAGAGGCCTTTTCAGCCTTGAAGAAAGATGARAGCAAGGAGCTTCATATTGGTGACCAGATATCACTTCTCCCAGATCAACATGTTTTTGAAGTGATACAAGAGCCCATTTCAGAAAGCAAGAAAGAACTTTTAGAAACTGCTGTACCTAATAATTCCAAAGGTTATAAATCAAATTATTTAACTAATTAACACTCAAATGTATGAATTTTTTAAGTTTCATATTTTCTTCGTGTTTTTTACATTTCTTTGCAAGAATACTTTTAAAAATTAAATCTTCACCAATTTAAGTTCTATCTCTTTGAAACCTGGCATACTTACCATCATTGAAATGGCAAACACTTGCTGGATTTCTTTTTTGTTAAATTGAATATTCTAAAATACATGCAAGTGCAATTTTTCTATTGGTCCAGTTTTATAGGATTTGCATTGTCCAGGTTAACGCCCTGGCTGCCACCCTGCTGTTCTTGTAGTCTCACTTGAATGCAAATGCACAGTTRCCTTTTAATATGTTGCCAAGACCAGGCTGTAAAGGAGACTTTCGAACTTTGAGCAACTCACCACTGTCTTTATTTGTGAATATTTTATTCATTTAGAGGAAAATGGKTCACCAAAAGATAAGGATGATATTGATGTACAGTCGGAATCGAATTCAAATTCAAACAGTGCTGATAGAGAAAACGAAAGTGAAGTGACAGAACACTTTCAGGTAAAGCTTGAAACTTGTACTTTCATTATTTAGTSAGCATTTTGTTTAAATCCTTTTGGTATGTTCTACTCATTAGTTATTTCAAACCTCATCTCAGTATAGCAGATTATCAAGAATAGGAGCCTTAAATAGATAAGTCACTTGACTATTTGCCGGATGGTAAATACAAAATATTTAGCCAAATCTGCAAAACAGCTGACCCTGGATGCTACAATTGCAGATTGGATGAGAMAACTGTAATACTAGACTAAACGTAACGACTGTACACCTTGTTCTAGTTTTTCACAAACAGTCGATTATTGTATATTATGTATTGATTTCAAGCATGGGAAATGTATTTAACACTTTCAATCGTAGATTGAAAGCAGATTTAAATCAAAACTATTTTATCCTAGACAAAGTTTCAAGCCTTACACTAGAAGCCGACCCTGCAAAACTATTTRCGTGACACATACACTAACTTATTTACGCCTGTTCAAACTGTGTCTGAATGAAACGTGAAAGCTCCAATCCATAAAAGATAAACATCATACTGACTCAGACTTCATGATTTTTTTCCATCTACACTTTAATTTGATTGTCATAACATTTTTTCATGTACAGGAGCAACCAGCACAACCAGAAGCTCAGATCTTAGACAAAAACCGAACACTTCCAAACTGGATGCTACCAGGCGACACCAAACCCGATACACTCGACCGTCCCCCTCCTAAAAAACGTGGTCGACCTAAGAAGGTCAAACTGCCCGAAAACGCGGAAGTCACAGAAGAACAAAACGGAAGTAAAAACGAATTCTTCCCACCGGTTGATGAGCAACCAATATACGCAATGGACCACTGGGTAGACGACTACGAAGACGACGACGAAGATAGTGATAATGACGATGATGAGGAAGAGGAGTGGAGCCCAGTACCTAAAGGAACTGGCAGGGGAAGAGGTCGGGGAAGAGGGCGAGGGCGAGGTCGTGGACGCGGACGTGGCAGAGGGCGTGGAAGAGGGAGAGGAAGGGGTCGCGGTAGACCGCCTTTAAAACGACGCAAATCAAAGCAGTATAGTGATGACGATAGTGAAGATGAAATCAGCGACGATGAAGAATTCTATGAAAAACCTATTAAGTTACGAAAGAAATCACGTGATATTAGCGATAGCGAGGAGGAGCAGGAGCCTTCAAAGGTATTAGATTTCTTCCATTTAAAATGTTCTTTTGACAGTTTCGTCTTACTGAACTTATCATCGGACTCCACCATGCTCCAATGTTGGTGGATAGCGCTCGGTTGCGAACGATTGCACTCGCACCTAAGGCCCGTTTACACTTGCGATTTTTGCACAGCGATTCTCGCGGCGATTGTTGCGCGACCATCGACAGAGTTTCGAGCATGCTTGAAAATTGGCTGCAACTTCGCGGCAATTTTCCATCGTCGCAAYAATCGCAGGGCTGTTTACACGTACGATTTTAGTTGCGTGATAGCAGAGTGGCCATTATCACGCTGCAAGTGCAAAATCGCAAGTGCGTAARCGAGCCTTTAGAATGGGTCCCTGATTGAAATGTATCCGAATAAGTGMCGACAGGCCACAGAAAAAAATAATCAAAATTGGTAAGTGATATGAAATAGCCTGCTACTGTTCTCCGATTTTTCGAAGGCGTGCCTTCAGTGTAATCGGTTGGTATGTTCTGGGTTTTTTAGGAAGAGGAAGAAGGAAATGGTGAGATAGAAACTGACCCATCCAAGAAGAAACTTCCGCCMTGTCCTTACGGCAAACTATGTTATAGGTGAGCTGGGAATCAGTATAATATAATACCCGGAATAAAATTGCGTGGAGGCCTTGAGATKGMGAAGAACASGGAGGCCTCATGTACTACMAGAATACCCAACCCTCTTTTTACCCTCTTTGTGGACTGACAAGTTTAAATTCTGGAGATCGAATTCATAGGAACATTTCTGTASATGTGTCCCAGTACCAGAAGACGAGCACTAAACTCAACGTTAGATACTAGTTTCTTCCGCTTACAGTACCACTTGTATCCGAAAGCCTTTGCGATCATTTTGTTTTGTTTTTAAAATATCTATTGTTGTATGTTTTGCTTTCTTATTGGTTCAAAATCAAATATTGCGATGTTTTGGTATATGTGCGAAAATGGCGCAAAGGCTCTCGGGTAGATATGGGTCTTTAAAGTTAGTAACGAAGTTTATCTTCCGTTGTCCACTAGTACTGAACCGGGTGTATATGTTTCTTTTGGTCGTTTCAGACTTAACTTTAAAGTTTTGTTGTTTTTCTTCATCAGAAAAAACCCTGCCCATTTCGACGAATATTCACATGCGGATTTTTCGAGTGAAAGTGTAGAGAAACCAGACTGTCCTTATGGAGCTGAATGCTATAGTACAAACCGACAACATTTACACGAATATAAACACCCACAATCAACAGGTAACCTATCGATACTTGGAAACCTTGCTTGCTATTAACAATACGGCCGCCATCTTGAATTCGTTTTCATTAGAAAATTATTAAGAGTGAGAGCACTAAACAAGAAATGAATTAGAATTAGACTGRCGGTATTGAGTATGGTGCGGCACTTAATGTTCAYATTGTAGTGTGTGAAAAACGTCGAAAAACAAAACGCATTTGGATGTTTCGAAACAGTGACTCAGTTTATGGAACAACAAATGTACCAGGACAAAATTTCTTTTTGTTCAATTCTATGCTTTTGTTTCTTGGATTTACTATAATTATATTTATAATCCAAGATGACTGCTCTATCAGATATAAGATTCGATGGAACCATGGTAGATTGGCRCGAGCAACAATCATTCTATCCACGTAGAAACGCAAGACAATTTTGTTGTTTTTGTTGTTCCTGTTGTTATTGTTGTTGGTTTTCATTTTGGCAATGAATCTCCAGCAAATCCACTTCTTTAATTTGATTTTATAATCTTGTGACAGATTCAAGTCGACCAAAAAGGAAAGCTTCGATAACAGGTATGCATGTAGATGCTATCAGAACGTAAAATACATSGGGTTACGTATTCCGCTACGCCACTTCCATTCTTTCTTCTCGTTTTGCTCCTTTATTGATCGGTAAATACCTTTAATAAAGAGTATTTGATGTAAAACATTATTAACAAAATACATTTGGATATTTTGGAGCAATCGTCCAAATAAGAGGGCAGGCTACACAAGCTATTTTGTTGTATATTAGTGTCCACCAAACTATGAACTATCACAAATCCAGCATTCTGATTGGCTCATGAACTATGTTATATTTATGTTATACCATGGCGGCATAAATGGAAGCAATAGTCGAAAAGATGTAGAAGAAAAGATTTCTTGTTTGGTCATTTGTTTTTCGAATATGCCCTATAGTCTGGTGCATACGAAAACAATTAGACCACTCGGCCTTGTGATCTAAGAGACAAAGTCTATCCGGCAAAGTATGGCCTCATAGACTATCAACTCGAAGTCCACTCGACCACGTGGTCTATTTGTTAAGTAGTTGTTTCTTACAGTCATATGTTAATGATGATTTTGAACTAATGGATTGAAGCTGAGGCTTTCGGGTAAACATCTTGTTTTCGCTCAAAAGTCTCATTTTCGATCAGTTGTTCAAAATCACCATATAATTGTATTAACTGATTAAAAAAAAATGCATTCTCTTCATTTTCCATTTCTTCRTCAATTATTGCTCTTTTTCAGGAAAACATAGCGATGCCGAACATGAAAACATCGACGAGGAAGAACCAAACCCACAAGATTTCCCTGACATTTATCAAGAAAAGAATGAATCGTCGAGTAGTGAGAGTTACAACCAGCCGTCAGGAGACGACAGTGACTGGAACCCAGGCGACGACGATGAAGACGAGGACGTCAAAGAACTGCTGACCGAAGCACGAGGATTCCTTCGGAGTAAGAAACTAGCCAGGCCTGTGTAGTTTGAGCAGTTTGAACTGTCGTCATAGTCGTTTTTTGATAGAGTACTATGTATTCTTAAAACATCGTAGCTTACATAGCTTATACATATTCAATATATATAGCTATATTCGCTTTATTGGAGTGAGTTTAAGGCAATTTCCAAAAGCGAAATCTCACATTTTCTAAATTCAATACAAATGATATGGAAATCCTGAAGAAACAAAGGATTTGTATTGAATTCGGTCTATCCTAGAGATTCRGCGTTTGGAGGAGACCTTGGTGTTTCTAGTTCTTTTCTTTCATTCCTTGATAATGCCGAGGATAACGAGGTTAGCCCGTATTTTCAAGATTAATCAAACGTAGTGTACATCGTTTTAGATTAGCTATCGAGATCTTCAAGTTGTTCTTTCGATAGAAAGAAAAAAATGTGACGAGTATACTGGCTTCACAACCTTATCCAACAATGTATGAGTAATCATTCTATTACCAGAGCCTGCGCTATTACTTACCAGCAGAAGACAACAATCTAGTCTCCTCTCGCAGCCATTATKAGGCTCGTTCCCAGTTCCTTCATAAAGGCTGCGAGAGRAGASTAACAGCAATCGCATTTGTGGATTTTGTGTTAGAGSACAAGGAGCAAAAAGTCCAAAGTGTTTATTTTACATGCATGCATATTTTCATGTGARRCCGCCATTTTACCACTTCATTGCCGCTCACACGATCTTATATTTTTGGCCTTTCTGCTGGTGCTAACGCTCCCAAAACGACTTAWAGATTTCTTCTATCATTAGACTAGGCTGTAGTGTGCGGCTATTGAAAAACGGTAAAACAGAAATTMTTTATAAAGGCCGAAAGGAGCTCAATTTTCATTTGGGCARAAGCTATTTCTTTGCTCCCAGTGTTCAGAAGTAGAAGGTTTTGGGCCGCGACGTGTTATATTGCAACTAAACACAAAGATGTTATGACTTTGTTATTTGTGATACTTTGCCTTCCCATCAACATGGCGGCCAATACCTTCACTTCATGGAAAAAGACACTCCGCACTCAGCAGTGTCCTCTCTGCCGCAATTCCTCGTTTGTTGACATTAACGGAGACGGACAATCCTCTRCAGTGGTTGATATTGTCTTTAACTACTATARTCTGCTGGCGGGTAATAACGCAGACGCACTCCGGCAAAGAAAATGGATTTTCGTGTGACATATATAATATATTAGTATATTAGCTCTATTTCAGCTCATTATGTTTTCTTTCTATTTGCTACTGCCCCGTATCCAGGTCTTTCAAAGGTGATTACGTGACATCGAGTAAGGTTGAAAAATAGAGTTTAAAAAGTATGTAAAAACGTTATAGAAAATATGAAATATTACCCAAATGTAGAGACTAAAGTTTTAACAATTGTAGATATATAAGTGACAATAAAATGAGATTTAAACTTGGTGCCATTGTTGTTGTTAATTAATACATCATTTGTGCGGTAATTGTGCGCCAAAGGCATTTGGTTCCTCAATCATGATGTACCNCATGGATTTTTCCAGGGGTCAGGTGCCCCAAATGCTATTCATTCATATTTTATTACACTCCTGGAAACCCTTCTAGTATATCGGCCACAATAAAGCCTTCATCATCGTAGAGTACGGTTGCCTCGTGTACCGGACCATAGATTACAAAATTCAATCTAAAGAAAGGGTAAACATAATTGAGCTCATTCTAAACCATATCCCAAAATAATATTAAACCTTACTAGAATACAAGGCAAAATAAACTAGAAGTAAAGAACCTAATTTTGACAATCGTCCAGGGTAACATCAACACAAAAAAACAGGCGCGTAGAGTCCTTTACTCATATACGCACGTGCGTACTTGTGGCATGTTACAAGGGGCAACATCTAATTTCACGTGCTTTAAAAAGAGGGGGGACAACGTCTAAAATTAACTAGAACTTTAATTAAAAACTGAAAAATTAACGGTGTCAGATTCGAAAACTTCTCAAAACAAGCTCAAAACGATTTGCAAGGAGGAGTAGTAAGTAATAACTTTTTTGATTTATTGGCTCATTACTCAACCCCCCCCCCCCCCCCCCCCCCCCCCCCCCCCCCTTCCTGATAAATATTGCGCAGTCCCTTTGTCTTTGCTTGCTTTTTCCAATCAAGGCTTCATTATCACTAAGAGCCTCAAAATCGCATTTCCATTAGTTATTATTTAAAAATTTCCTGGGGAGGATCCGCAGACCCCCTTAGAACTCCCGCCTTCGGCGTACGCTAGATGGATATTTCTACGATATTTTTCGCAAGCCAATGCCACATACTCTCTATCTGATCATGACATGGCGATATGTCAAACAATCCCGCTCGATTTAAGGTGGCTTCCTACAGGCTTCCTAAGGTGGCTTCCTATGCAAAAATGACATCCATGAAATATTTTGTCAATATTGTTATTCAATAGTTTGAAGTTAATGTTGATGTCTACCCCTTTTCTGGATCTCATCAATTTTTTGAGATATTTGGGAAAAAACAAATTTCGACAAAATGCAAATTCCGTTGCCTAGGTAACGTTAATAGAGCTAAATATCATGCCAAACAAAACGCTGGTCAATGGCTTAATACTGTTCCAAACACGAGACAAATCGGTGCATAGCAAGGTTTTTCAAAAAGCGAATTTAAAATGAGAGGTATGGTCGAAAAACAACTGTAGGAATCCACCTTCAGATCAACTCAAATTCCTTTAACAACAAATCATATGCAAAACGTGACAGGCATTCAGAAAATAACTAAACCACCTTTCTCCCTGAGATCAAATAAGCATTTTCGTTACCTTGATTCTACTCAAATACAGCATAAAATGATAAAAGTGCAAGTTCATTGTAACTTTGTATCAGCGGTTCGCCCCGATTATACGAACCTCTGCGAGAGCAGCAATAACACGAAATGCTAGAATTGATTTCAGTGACGATTAGGGTATTGTTACCTTAGTTTTAATCCGTCTTCGTTCAACTTTCTTTTACATTGATCCGGCTCAAATACGTCGTGGAGCATTCTCTAAAATGTATTCGAACAATCTGAAGAGAGCAAACACGACTGCAGGAAAAGTCGCGCCTATATTACTGATCAGGGGAGCAGCTTGGCTGGTATACGATTGTTGTTTACGATGGAAATTCTCACCAAAATTCCATTTATTGTGATCTGAAGATCTGAAAAGGGTCTTGCATAGCTTAGGAGGAAAAGAGGCGGACACAAGAGCAAGTAAGTGGAATATTAATTGAAATAAACTCGTATACGACGACATACTGATTCGCTACTTCAATTCGAGAATTCCTCCGAAGTACACAAACAAAAACGGTCATAACTTTGCAAAAACTGAAAACGTACACAGGTTATTCGCTTTTGGTATCGTGGAAGGATAAAACTCTTTAATTATGTAGTTAAAAGTTTGTAGTTAGGTGCCACTTTTGCAATTCAAGCTCGTAATTTTGCTTATTTTTCAGCGCTCGCTGAATTTGTGTTAAGTAGGGCCCACAGTATGCCGAATTTCTTGCTAACGACTACTTTGATGAAATAATGATTATCACCTAGTTAAAGTAGAAAGATTTATCTACAATTTGGTATAAAAAATGTTTCTAAAACATGCGGGATACATTATATACAATGCTATGAATGTATGCTAAATTTTTGATCGGAAACAGCTTGTTGCTGACGTAAGCAGGCTAAGATCTTTATCGGCTCCTGGCGAAGCCAAAATAGATTTTTGAACCAAACTAATTTCATTTCAGGCACTAACCCAGTGAGGTCTTTCAATGGCCAGAGTTAGAGAAAAAATAATTTTTCAAAAAAAAATYAGTGGGTGGTTTTTACTGAGACAGCCTCTTAATCCTTTGCTCATTTCGTTTTGAAAGTGAGTGACGGGGTATTCTAAAGTCGATCCAAAATTTTGTCTTTTTTTTGTTTTGTTGTTGTTGTTTTAGTTAGATTGAGACACTTCATTTCTTATGTATTTTGGGATACCTGTGTTTTKGCATATATCCCAGGGTCCAATTGGAGTGCATAGAAAAAATCCGAGGAAGACTGGTTCGAAACAAAAAAACATCATGGCGGACGATTTGTTATGTTTTTTGATGTCAGCAGCAATAAGCTTTATAAGACATCTTCAAACTTACCATGGGATTTTATGAGCGTTTATTATTGCAGGATCCTTTTCCTATTGATCTGGTGAAGATTGGCTTGGCTAACCRTACAAGTGTTCTGTGTGTCGCTAAAGAAACCAGCAAGGTTTTTGTTGCTTTCAAAATCGTGCAAGAAATACAAAGACGCTTTCCTAGCAAGTTTAGCCTGATTGTTTCGCAAGGCAATTCAGGTAAGTAGCTTATTTTTGGAATATCTTAGCAAAATGTTGGGTTGCACGAGTATTGGTTGCTCAGAGGCGTTACCATTCCGAAATATTAAAGTGAATATGAATATTTATAATGCGCCACTCAAGATATGGTTGACTGAAGGGKAGTGACTGTCTGATGAGCAATTTGTCAAACCCAGGGTATTCTTGAGATCGATAGATTTCACCAATTTTCTTAGATTTKTCGAATGACGAACCCAAAAAACAGGCATTCGCAAAACCAAATGTTGTTTCTCTAYTGCAATTGGTCATAAATCATACCCATTTTTGATAAATAGATTTACAAAACATGTGAATTTTGCCATTTTCCTGAAAAATAGGGAGATTTTTTTACATTTAATTTTTGAGAGCATAATGAAGTAAGGTCCAAAATCTAAGACTCCCAGATTATCTCGCAGTCAGTTGTCAACCCTTCAACTGATTGATTAACCAATCAAAATTGATAATTGATTGGTTGAATGACACTTTGTTTTGTGATTTATTCATTGGTTGATTGAATAATTGATTAATAAATCAACTGATTGATTTTGACTTATCATTGTCATTAAATGATTGATTGGTTAATTAATTTATTGATTACACATAATGAGTTGATTAATGTTATTATAGATTGAATTATTCACTAAAATGAATCAAAATGAACCTGTGATTATAAGCAATGATTATAATAGTGTTAATATGTACAAACTTTAAAAGTGTGGCCACTGTTAAATGTATTTTCATACTGAATTATCTTGGTTATTAGCCAATCACTGTTGTAGGATTGTGTTAACTTGTGCAGAATATAGAGCAAAGTATACTCTTGTAACTACATTATCAGTGGTCTTGTTTTCATACATTGCACTTTTATCATGTAGATCTAATCACTAGCTAACGTGTTGCTGTGTATGTTGCCACCCAATTCAAATCCTGTGGGAAAAAGAACTCTTGTTGCTAAGAATTCAATGTGAAACAAAAATACAAGGAAAATAAAACTTATTCCCAGTTGGCTTTAATTTGTTGGAAATGTTTGTAGCATTACACATTAGCCCATTAGGCCTATTTAACCCTCTCTGACCCCACACTTATTTTTCCCATGTTTCCCAGATTGTTTCACCCAACAGTTTATTGAAGCAGTAAACCTACAGACAACTCTCAAATGTCGGATTTGTACCAATGAATCCTGGAAACATGACAGCAATACTGCAGATATCCAAATAGCAAGTCCATCATGTATTGCTCATCAAATTCAAACTGGTACCATTTCCTGGTCAAAAATCAATTTGCTRTTAATGAATGACTGCCATCTARTAACCCATGGAGACCATCCTTCAAAATTCATTATTGACCATGGCAAGTCACATGATCATTACATTAGACCAATCACAGTTGGTCTTTCCTCTCAATTGCCAGTCAACAGTCCATCTCAACTGGAAAGCACACTTAGGGAAATGGAGTCAGTGTTTGGTTGTAATTGTTCAGTATCATGTGATCTAGTGGCTATGAATCGGTATGGAGAGAAATCCCAAGAGAATGTCATCAGCTACTCGCTTGAAAATAAAACTGAAGGAATGTCACACTTGATATCCTCACAAATTGCTAGCATTCTAGAATATCTTATGGAAAAAGATAAAGTTGAAAGTGGRTTARAAAAAYCTACCCAGGCAATATTGTCTCACATAATCATGTTATGTAATACTTGCAATAACATTCTGAGAAGGTTTGGTGCTAGTGCTGCTGAATACAATGCAAAAATCATTATGCGTGAACTAACAAAGATGGAAAAGAAAGCTATTGTTTCAGAAGATATTGAAGTATTGCRTTATTGTAAGGAAACAATGTCACTTGTTCAGAAAGGTTGTAGTGATAAAAGTCAAGATTATTATGAGATGACTCCTGTTGTTATAGACCTTATATCAAGGTTATTGACTTCCAACATTGAAAGTAAAGTTTCAGGAAATAGTGATACACCTTCAACTAATGATGCATGTTGTATCAAATCCCCTTTGGCAAGTTATATTGAAAAGTGTGAACAGAATGCTAAAAGGCATCCAGTGATTGTAATCCTTTGCATCTCAGACCATGAAGCAGCAGCTTTGAATTTCCTATTAAACAAAGCAGCAAAACTTGACCAAAAACTGTCTTACATCAAAAGTGCCTATTTGTCAAGTTCTAGCATCAGGCAAAGTGAGACGTGTCAAGAAGCTGAGCATGTTGAGAGTCAGGCTATCATTCAGCTTATCAACCAAGGAGAAGTGAATGTTCTTGTTTTAAGCTGTGATGTGGAGAATGACATCTATATGTCATCTTGTAAGCAACTGATACGATTTGCAATCCCAAAGGACTACCTATCATATGTGAAAGTTAAAAGGATTTTGAGGTGTTCAAATTCTGAAGTCATTTTCTTTGAGGAAAATGAAAATTTGAGAGAGAAACGCATTCAGCAATATCAAGTGAGTTTAACAAGTTGCCCTTGATGTGGATCGATGATGTGTAAGGTGACTGTAAATAGAGGTTRCAATAGATACTTCCCATAATGACTATGGCTGCAGCTTCAATGTACGCAAGCACAAATTTATCACAGGCAGCCCAGGGTATTGTCTAGTAGATTTGAATTGTCTCAATCAATTAATACAGTACGAGAGTTCGAGTCACACATTGAGAAATTCATTGTTACTTTTTTACCTTCTTCCTTATAATAAATCATTTTCAATCGATATAACGTCACTTCTGAATGAAAGAAAAAAGAAAAAAGTAATGATGATTTTCTTTCTCAAACTCCAGTCATTGAAATTGATCGACGCCATTAAAAACTACTAGACAATAGCCTGGGCTGCCTGCGAATTTATTAAACAGTCAAAAGACATAAAGCGTGCGCCCCTCGAAGACYTCATTATTCAATAGCCGACTTTAGATATTTTGGTTCAGTGACCATGCACAAAAGAATAGCAGACGAGGCTCCGGGGAAATAAAGAATAAAACGATATTATACGCTCTTTGATTGGTCATTTTGAAGCGTGCACTTCAAAATAACTCTTTGCAATATTAAAAAAAAATAAATTATCAATGGATAATCTTGATTTATYCTTTATTTCCCCGGAGCCTCGTCTGCAATTCTTTTGTGCATGGTCACTGAACCAAAATATCTAAAGTCGGCTATTCATTATTGGATTTTTCATTTTATTTTCAAACTTCAGTTGTTTTATGCAAAATTAAATTCAAATCTCGAACTCTATTGGATAATGGACTACACAACAAACCCGCKCCGAATGCCATTAGAGAGGAAATATTAGCGCGATATCATCAGGGTTACTCTAAAAAACGAAATAGCACGTGGTTTAGGAATATCAACGAGCTCCGTTAAGAAAATAACACGGCATTCACAGCCTTTTGCTTGGGACCGTCATTCCTTTCTCACCCAGCCAAAGTAACATACAATATATTGCAACGCATCGAGTTGTGAAAATTACAAAAGCCCAGCAATAGCATGTTTGCCAGCGAAATACGAAGAAAGCTTTTGGCTGAAGGATGACGTTTATGAAAATCCGATCAAGAATATAATCGAATCAAATTTCGAAGTTTGAATTCAAATTTGATTTCAATAATGTAATGTTGAATCGACCAAGAATCGAATAATGTTCATGTGTTTTGACTGTATTTGCTGATGAAGTAGTTTGCCAGTATTATTAGAACACTATATTCTATATTCCAGGCTTTAAAAGAAGTAGAAAGTGTATTATCCACACGATGTGAGCCATTTAAATCTACCGTGAATAATGATGCATTCTGGGAGAGGTTTGCTTGCAAATCTGAGGAAAAGCTTGCACTTGAAGAAGATCCACGGCTTGCGATTCCTCTTATTAACAGGTTGATATGCCTTTTGACTCATATATATATATATTCAAGGTACAAGTGCATCAGAAAGTCTTTGTGAAGGATTTTTTTTATCAGATACGAAAAATCATCAGCTTTGATTCTGAAGCAATACTCCAATTTCGAGTTCTGGTTTGCTCTGTGTTAGCCTCAAAACCAAGTAACATATTCTTTTCTTTCATTGATAKCCCGAGAAAACGACTGGAATTTGAAAAGAAAGMCAATGGATTTGATTTGAGATCTCACACTTTTATTCTCACAAATAGGAATATTTTCAGCACAAATGAGGCTAACACAGAGCATTGGAGAATTCGAAACTGGATTGTTACATCTAGACCCATGTGAACAAACTCTTTTTAAAACAAAACTTGCACAGAATGAAATGACCTCTAGGAACTGTGATATGATGTAATGTGTTTAGTCAATTGCCTTATCGCATTATTACGTCACACCACAGCATTCTATCGTTTGAACTTTGACGTCATTATGCCAAAGTGCAATTATGATTTGAATTTCTGTGTACTTAAATTTGACTTCCGTGTTAACTTCGATGATGTCACCTTTTTGCGATCCGGGACAACGCCTCCTTCAATCAGATATTTGAGTTTCTCGGGGATTCGGGTTTTACTAATATTCTGTGTATCAAATGTAATTTGTCTATTTATCTATCTGTGTTACAGGTATTGCAGTTCATTTCCAAATGATGGTTTTGGCTGTTCTCAGCCACATCACGAGATCAAGGTTAAAGAACAAGCTGAGACGTTTCATGTGGAATCAACTCTWCAGCTCCCAAGTCACTCACCTATTTACCGTCCATTCAAGGTGAGATGTGTTACCCTATCAATCGATAATTAATAATTATTAAACGCAATACCGCAGATCATGTCTGGGAGGTAATTACCACCAAAGGTATTACTGCAAGTATAGAGATCAAAATAAAAGATAACATTTTATTGATTTTCCATTGTCCATACTTTCTCACATTTTCTTAGGTGCAAATAAAAAATAATAATGTCAAGCACAATTATATAGGGGGTTATATCCCCCCTCTCTCSTGCACCCTCAGCTGCGCGGTCCCTCGAAGTCGTTGCATATGTCTTACAAAATGCATATTTCTAAGCTTCTTTCAAAGAAAAGTTTTATTAAAGTGTGAAAGTTCAAGGTTTTTGTTATCATCCTAATTGTTTCTTGCGTCCTAGGGATTAGTAGTCGTTCCAAAAGAACAGGCAACACCAAGTCTCCTTGCTCAAGCTCGTTTTGAAAGCTGTGTTGCTGCTGCAATGCTGGCTTGTAAAACTCTACTTGAGACTGGTGAACTAGACAAACAAGGACCAAGACTCTCCGCAGACGACTACACTTTTAAAAAAGCCAACGCATCGTGTTCTTATGAAGTGGCAGATGGTTGCAATGGTGTTGACGGTTCTACGAAAAGAAAAAGAGCTTACGAAAGAAAGGTATAGACCATTACTCAGTKTACTAATGCATTGATCATGAGACTGACACAATAGGTTACTATCACGGAATCTATAATGTTGGTGATTGCAAATAAAATTAACAAAATAATCGTTCATTCACTCATCACTAACACGGCTCCAACGTTCCGTGACGGTATCAAAAAGTGTTGTCTTTTTCCACTCTATAAAAAAAGTAGAAAAAAACAACTKTTGTTTGGTCCACAAAGGCTACGTCATCGAAGATAAGACCRAAAAGGGCATGGAAAGGAAAATGATTAGTGCCGAGAATACGTTCGGAAAAGTACCTTTTAAAAGTTTTTATTCCAATCAAATTGTACACAGTGAAAAGATAGAAATCTCACGGAAATTATTGTTTTACGTCGGTGGACAGCTGTCCAGAGCTSAATAAGTTTTCTATCGTTGCACCATGCGGGCTTTATGATTCCATGACTGACAATCATGTATTCTGTTTAAGTCCATCAAATGTTAACTATCAATTTGTTTCTCCAATCATAGCGTCCGTCAGTCCTGATGAATAGCCTACCCCTAGCAGAGATGCCTTGCTATATTTATTCCATATCAATAAGAACAACCCAGGAACCAGAGAACGACTTAATAGAAGACTATGTCAGCTCAAATATGCTTGGATTGCTATCCAGAAACCGGATTCCCAAGGTAAAATAAGTGTAATAGATAAACATAGGTCGAACTAGTTGAGAGAGACTGAATTTGATCTGATTGATATCTGATTGATACAAATCCTTGATAATTTGAACAAAAAATGTTGGAGTAGATGACGTCATTTACTCCATCCTTTTGTTCTTCCATCTTTTGAATCAAAATTTATCTGATGTGGGACAATTCCAAAACAAATATTTTCCCGCAATTGTTTTTGATAGATATCAATGAGTCGTATATTTGTATTGCTTGAAGTTTTGAAATAAGGCCATTTTCATGCAAGTAGCACTTTAATGCTTCATGTATTTCTGTATGGGTGTGGGGGATTGTACGTCGTTGATTTCGTCTCGGCTAGGAACCTATACGAACGATCATAACCRCCTCYTGCTGTTTTTCTAGATTCCTAAGTTTATTATCTACAAGAAAGCAATTGAGCTAATTGTCAGCATCAAGGAGTGTGGTCACCTTATTGCGATGACGKCTGATGAGTTCGCYCTGATACAACGTTTTCATCGTTATATCCACAGTGAAATCATGCATATTAATAGTGACCCGGAAGACGAAAGTTTYCGCTTTGAGCCAGAAAGCCAAACATATGGCTGCTACGTTGTGCCTTTGGAAACAATAAAGCCTGGAGATCAAGATACTAGAGAAAGCGTTATTGCAGAAAGTTGTGAAGATTTATCGCTGCAGAAGTTAAATCTTCAAAATAACAATACAGATGGTGTTGATSTTAATAAATSTGCTGTCTCGAGTGAYGATGCTGGGTGCGAAGGAAAACTGAGCGCTTCTTTGAACCCTGTCCAGTCATCTCGGACTGTGGCATTTGAATTTCTTCGGAACATTGAAGACAAGCTCGAGGATTTATCAAATCCCAAAGACCCACCCCCTCAGTCACACATCGACTTTGAAAACTACCGTGGTCGCATTATAACTGCTGTTTACATGAAGACACCTACGAAATACCTCGTGATTGATATACTTTACGACATGAGCCCGCTATCACCTTTTCCTGATTTAGACGTGGCTGCGACCTTCTCAGACTACTTTAAGCAGAGATACGGACTTGAAGTAAAAGATGAGCAGCCTTTACTTGAAGTAAAGAACCTAAGCAGAGTGAGTAGTTGTCTTGTGTCAAAGTATCGCGATACAAAAGGACACGAGAGAGCCCTCCCCTCTAACGAATCAAAAAGGTGAGAAACTATAAATCAAAGCCGCATCAAAGTGGAGAACACAGGGGAGATGGAGAATACAGGGGAGGGGGAGAATTCAAGGAAGAGGAGAATACAGGGAACTGGAGAACACAGGGGAGATGGAAAATGCAAGGGAGGGGGAGAATACATGGGGGGAGAGAATACAAGGGAGTGGAGAATACAGGATAGATGAGAAAACAGGAGAGGTGAGAACACAGTGGAGGAGAGAATACAAGGAAGGGGAGAATACAGGGGAGGTGAGAATACAGTGGAGGTGAGGAGGGGGAATACAGGGGAGAAGGATAATAAAGTGGGGGATTCAGGGGAGGAGGAGAATACAGGCGAGGTCGGGTCAAGACAAGTAATATGGGGTTCCCATCTAATTTAATAATAGAAGACCAGTTAAGTTACAAGT